CCCCCCCCCCCCCCCCCCCCATAATCGAATCCGGTGGCATCCCTTCTGAAGTTGTAGCACATTCCCAAAGGAACATTTGTACCAATTCTGGTGCTTGTACGTGATTTGTCACGATCGTTTTGCTAACAGACTGGACTATAAACAGGGATTAAAAGTTTCTAATCCATATTCAGACAGGAAAATTTGTTTTTTGCAATCTTTAAAAAAGTTGGCGATATTATTGAAACATCTTCCAATACATGTGTTTCTTTGTATTGTTATCGAAATATCCACTAGTTTCATACTCAGTATTAATACATTGAAGAATAGAGATGAAACAATCAATACTACAAGGGCGGATCCAGCCAAAATTTTAGGGGCGGCTAATTGAGTTTAGGGGGGGCTAATTGAGTTTAGGGAGGCTAATTGAGTTTGGGGGGGGCTAATTGAGTTTAAGGGGGGTTAATTGAGTTTCATCCGTCAACACAATTGAAAACATTAAAGAAAGCATCTAATTCTTCAGTTTTTTGTTTTTTGTTTCTGCTGAAGGGAGGCCTTCAGCCCCCCTTTGCCACCCCCCCCCCCTCCCGGGATCCACCCTCGTACTGAGTAGAGTTCATCAGCAGGCCTTTTGTTTTCATAGAAATAAAATATGTCAAGAAAATATTTAATGAAAAATGTATGGAGCAAAATTGTATGGAGCAAGATTGTCAGTTAAGTTTCAGCTGAATCAATTTTCAGACGATTTCTGTACTAAGTCCCCCTTCAACAAAAATAAATCAATAGTAATGCCATGTTTCAATTGATGCAAATAGTGGTAATATAGCTACAATCACTTACCTGTAAGAACTATTTAGAAACTTCAGAGGTGATAATCTCTCTATTAAATAAAAATTAAAAACCCCATTATTACAAATAATAGAAATCATTTTGTATATGAGAATATTTATATAAACTATATATTTGTACTGTGGTTATAATGAATCAAACTGAGCTGATATCATTTTGTCAACAGGGCAGATTAAGGAATTGGTTTGGGTGTCTAACCACTGTCATTTCCAGGAGTGGCTTGAATGATGACTTTAAATGGCTTTCCCATCCCTCCACACTGTCTTTATCTTTACTAGCCAATATTGGAGGAATATATAATTCATTGTAAAGCCCTGGGGTGCTTACCATTGAAACCAATTCATCTGCTTGTAAGTTTGTTTGCTAACGGTAAGAAAATAGTACGTACTAACRAAAAAAGGTATATGCGTCTATCAGATCCGAAGCAAGTGGTAAAAGTGGAATACCTCAATTTCTGGGATTTACAAATCGGGATGACACATAACATTTGTTTTCCAACTGGAATTTCTGGTTTTTCTGGGTAAATTGTAAGCACCCCTGATCAAAGGATCATATCTTTTAATCATGTTCACTTAAGGTGAGAACAATTCGCTTTTTCTTAAAGAACATTTTTTTATTTTTAGCAGGAATTAAAAATATGCCAAATTTGGCATATTTCAATAAAACAATCTGGTTTTTAAAATTATTAGAGGGATTCATTTTGACTTCAGCCTAGAGTCCAGAAAATTGACAGAATCTCAGTATGATAATTAAAATATTGAAGATATTGGCAGTTTTCTAATAAGAYTCACTATGAAATTAAGGTTTCCTTTGCTGTTTTGTTGTGTATTGTGGGATAGCTGCTATTATTATTATCAAAATTTCTTGTCATCAAATTTTTATCAAACAACCATGTCAAAAAAAAAATGGCTTAGGCCTCACATTTTTCAAATAGCTCCAAGATTTCAAGAGGAGTCAAACTGATTTCAGTAGGTAGAGGGTCCACAAAAAGGGTTCTCAGTACCCACAATCCCACCATTCTGCAAACTTTTGCTGGCAATCCCACCATCCTGCTTGTCTTTATGTCAAAATCCCATTCCCGCCTTGTGACTCTCTGTCAGTTGGCTTAGCATACTGAATGGAAATACAATTTTAAATAAATTCACAAAAAGAACTGTAATCCCCTTATCCTGATGTAAGCCCTTCTGATTCCCAAATCATGACAACTCAAAAACAAATCCTGTTCCTAATTGAGAATCCCCCTTCCCACTCTGTTTTTGGCTTGCATCCTGAATCGCTCTCTTAAGATAAGGCTGATCCCTTGCAATCCCATCAAATCTATTGCGTACCCTCTGGGCAAGGAGAATTTGTAATCCCTGTTTCAGTGTATAAAATTTATGAATTGATTAAACAATTCCTTATTTTTGTTTTCACATGATATCATCAATCATCAAGACCTTGGTTGTTTTGTCCGCTTTAGGCTATAACATGTACCTTGGAAATCAAACTTTGTATAATAAACTGAATGTTTGAACCTTGATGGGAGAACACATGAGCTGGTTTGACTGGTTTGATCTTGCTTTGAAACTTGCATTGATGAAACGAGTGTTGTAAATTTTAAATCTGGGATCGGATTAAAAAGTTTATTTAGTTCTTCACAGATTTGTACTGTTGTAGCTACCATTTTAAAGTAATGTATTTGTTTGGTGTATTGTTTTTTTCAAAAACTCCTTTCACAAATGAAAATTTTAGATTTTTGAGGTAAAAGCAGGGATTCATATTTATATGTACAAGATCGTTTGATTAATGCAAGCTCCAAAGCGAGATGGAAATCAAACTTTGAATAATAAAATGAATCTTTGAACCTCGATAGGAACGCATGAGCTGGTTTGAATGTAATWGAAGGGAGCATTCATAATTTATGGGGTGAAAGGGAGATGGATTTAACATTTTGAAAATTATGATATTTTTTGAGTTGTCTCCCACTTAAACATTTTTTTTTTTCTGTGAACCTCACCTCCCTCCATCCAAAATATAGACTTTATAAATAAGCAATGGGCCAGGGAGCACCCTAAAAAAATGAGGGGGGGGGGGGGGAGGGGGGGCTAAGGCTGGAAAATATATGAGACTAGCATGGAAAAAGTTGGGGGAGGGGGGTAAGAAAAATCATGAGACTAGTATGAAAAAAGGGAAAAAGTGGGGGGCTTTAGCCTTTTTCCACTGCCCCTGCGCACATAGCCATGTATACTACCAATAGTCTGAGTATTCTTAAGCTTTTTTAAGCTTTTTTATGTGCACAGCTGCCGTGGATTTTGGATGGAGGGAGGTGAGGTTCACAGACAAATTATGTTTAAGTGGTCAAGACAACTCAAAAGATACCATAATTTTCAAAATGTTAAATCCATCTCCCTCCAACCCCATAAATTATGAATGCTCATGCACACTCCATGTGTTCCTATTGAGGTTCAAAGATTCATATTTTTATTCAAAGTTTGATTTCCATCTCGCTTTGGAGCTCGCATTAATCAAACGATCTTGTACATATAAATGTGAATCCTGTTTTTACCTAAAAAAATTAAAATGTTCGTTTGTGAAAGGCTTTTTCATTTAAGGTGGCTGCCTACTTTTGAACGTTCGAATTGAGCCCACGATAAGCGCGCGCTCAAAAACCGCTGAAAAATCTACAAGATTTTATTGAAGAACCATACGCGTTTTGAGCTTCAACAGGGCAAAACCCTCAAATTTTGCATGGGACTCTCTATTTTTTGATAGCTTATTCGAAAAAACTCCTTAAAATCTAGGTTATATCAACATTTTAGGAAAAGTTTAAATCAGGAACACGTGAAAAAATAGATTTTTGTAGGGATTTTTGTTCGACTTTATGAGCTTTTTTAAGAGCACCGAAACTACAAAATATGACAAATCAATGTATCTCTCCGTCTTTTTGTCGAAAATATCCATTTATTATTGTAGAAGGATTGACTAGCCTCCGTTCGTGCAATCATAGAGTCTGCAAATAACTATTATCTTATTAATCTTAATTTTTTTCTAATCACTTCCAGTGGCGCAACTTGTACTCCAAAAGCTCGTGCGTAGGCTTCCATTAAATGCTGATTATCTCGAAAACGAGCTCCTGACAYGGTCCGTGTAACACTCCACAAAGAGCTTTTCAATTTAGTTGGCGTGAATTGGACATATGAAATTTGCCTGATTTTTGAATTTTCATTTTTTATGATCATGTCAAAATTCGAATATTATCTCATCAATGTCAATTTTCAATTTTCGAATTCAAAAATTAAAAATTAAAATAAATATTTGAAATGACTTTTCGAAATTTTGATTTCGTACTCTGAAAACGAACTTTGGAAAAATATCCTGTAGACAGGGGGAGGTGAAGATTAGGCAGACTGAGGGTAGGTGGGTCCACTAACAACGACAATAATAAAAAAAACATAGAGGGAGGGGGGGCACCAAGGAGGGTGTTATAACAACATGTAAACCTTGAGAGAAAACCATGGAAGAATTTTCGACCAATTTGTACGATGATGAAAGCGGAAGGTA